CTAATCACACACAATATTTACTTTAAATTGGTAGGTAAGCATTAGTTTTCACAGGCTTTTCAGGCACACTATAATCCCCTCTAAATCTAGGAAAAGCACAAAAATAAGAACACAATTAAGTATGCCACAGGCAATTATCTAAAGTAATTGCAGGAGTGTAACATCAAATATTGTGAAGGCCACGTGTGGCAAATACGCCTATGCAGGGATTCTTTTGTGATGTAAATTAAGACACACAGACAATAAATACAGGTACAACTAGTAATGGGATTATACTTACTCAGTTACATCTCTTCCTGAAGTATGACGACGGTTCCCTGCCAAAGGGTGTGTGGAAGCAACGAACGCTCGATCCAAAGAACGTCGGTTACACTTGGGAAACGCAGGACTGCACCCCTGGGAAGGACAAACTTGGAACACTTGGGAGTCAAGGGCAGATGGTCATCGCAATAGGAGCTCCTAAGGCGACGTGATAGCCGGAAGATTGATGAGATCAGTTGAACACGCAGGACAGCTCGTGTTTAACAAGATTCAATACCTGGTTACTGTTTTTTAACATTAGAATGTTTTGACAAATAGTACACCAAGAAGCCTCTTCAGTGTTAGCTCTCACTGTTTGCAGATCTAGGTGTTGTATTTATTGCTCTTTATTGTACTTTGGAACTAAGTATATTTACAGCACCACCAAAGAAGTGAAAACCTACTGAGAAGGGATCACAGTCTCCACAGTACTGACCATCATCTCCACCAACTTCTCCTTAATTTATGATGAAGACTGAAACCTTGGCCCCTTTGAAGTGAGTCGCAGAAATCCCATTGACTCAGTGGGGCCAGGATACCATTGGAAGGAATTTCCTTCATTTCAAGTCTGAAGAGTTGAAGTCCTTGGATTACACAAAATGAGAAACAAAGAGTTTTAAATGATTTATTTGATTTCTCCACATGATCACAGTTATAGTTTTACATCAATAGGGTCTGTTACTACTTACAAACAGAATGCATGTTAAAATGAAAGCACTCCTTTCTTCCCCATAGTTACAAAAGGGGTCTCAAGCCTCCCCAGAACAGAAGCTTCTTGTAAGCATAATGTTTTTTAAGTCTTTAACAGTCTGCATTCAAGACCTAATTCTAACAGTTTAATACAACTCCAAGCTGATTTAAGTTCCTAGCAGGAGACAGGCAACCTCCAAGTGACTGCAGACTTACAGTAATACTAATTTACACACTATGTACAATTTAGAGAATTACCTATTCCCCCTACTGGTCCCATTTTCACCACCCCCTTTTCTCTTTTCCAAATTTAGTCTTGTTATTGGTTCCACTTTTCTTTTAAATATATACACAATAATCCATTTTGCAGGCAAGAAGTGTGATGGTATTTTACAACGGAACAGCAAAATGCATGCTTAACTGCAGAAAACACACAGCTTCATATGGAACAGCAAGTCAACATCTAGAGATTTATTGTTTAAATATCTGCTGACTGTCTTTCAGCTCATTTTATCAAGAAACAAGAGGCTTCTGCTGCATGCAGTACATGATGGGAAAATCATTCTACACCGTATGTCAGACGTGGGTTCTTTTAGCAATACAAGACGCACGTTATATTAGGATGAACTTTGTTTTTTGTTTTTACATTGTTGTACATTTCATTCTTAACTTAAAAAAATAAAAACCCCAAATATATATTTGATTGTTGTCCCAGAAAAGATTTTTGTTGCCACACCTTCATTCTTTATGTTTCCCTTTCATTTTTTCAAATCAGCATTACTACTTCACCACATTATTTACGGGAAAAGAGAAACACGATCACCCTATGCAGCTCTGTACCAGTTTTTAATTGGCAATGGCATTTGCAAAAACCCCTCTCAATTCTACTTCTGCCTGCAGGCTGAAAAAATTCATTTTCTTAACCACACGCAGTGTTAATATTCGAGACATGATCCACACTGCTCTAAGCAACTGTTAATCAAGGACGGAGTCAGAGAGGTTATACTGCAACCCTAAACAAGCAGCAAAGTTCTTAAGACTTATGCTGACACCAAGACACATCTATTTGTTTAAAGTACATACAAACACACAATCTAAAAATAAATAAATTTTAAAAATTCCACTGTTTCTCTTCATTGACTTGAAATAATAGAGTTTACAAATACTGTGCTCTTACATGACCTTTTTTGTTTTAAACTAGCCTCAAAACGATCCGTGATTTTACACATGCAACTTAATGCACCTAGCGGGTAGGCACAAGCTCTGTCCCCATGTGTACATGAAATCATGTGTAAATGGTTTCTTGGCATGCACGTTTGTGACATCTCTTGAATTTAATTGATTGCACATGGAAAATCAGTGCTCAAGCATTTAAATGTGGCTTACTGTGTAAGTTTAGAATATTCATATGTAACTCCAATTTAAATGAACGAAAGGGATTTTTAAACATAAAGCAAATGCAGATCTGGGAGATTTAACATCTTCATGGTTAATTAACACAGCTAGAGTCAGATTTTCCTCTCCACTGCTACCGCATATTCTGTGTTCCATACACCCGCCATTTTACTTACATTGTAACTCTGCATCTGAAACAAGCACAGACTTCGTCACTCAGTGAAGAGGAGCATTCTTACCTCTATTTTTAATTAAGATGCAGTTTCTGAGAGATGTTTGTACCCGAATGGTTCTTTATCTTTTCTGGAACAACCTATAAATTACAGTTAGACTCTACTATTGGTACAGATGTATGAAGAAAAGTCTACATATTGAAATATGTTATCACTTTACTTCAACTAATATCAACAGTAACACTGATATATTTTGCAAATATACAATATGTGGAGTGTAGCCTCACACTAATAACATCAGATGACATGCAGACAGTTCTACTTTCCCTTCTAAGAACAGTACATATTTTTTTTAAACTGCAAGGAACAGAGCCTCAGGGGACCCGTATGAGCCCTCTTAAGGTAAGCCGCAAAATTTAGAATAGTATGCGCGATACTTCAAAATAATAATGTAACTAATCGTTCTCTTTTCTTTTCATGAAGATAATTTAGAGGAGAAGGAGCAGAAGGGGAAAACATATTGCACATGTGTGAAACAAACGTGGACAGCTTTAAACAAATGGCTAAACTCTAGATTGCTGTATTTGCTCTCTGTGGAGGTTAACAAAGTGCTCAGTTTGCAGTTCTGCTGGTATTGTGATATCAATAGTATGAAAGGGAAAAAAGTACTCTACCTCTCCCCCCGCCCCCCCAAATATTAGAGAAGGCATGAGCAAGCCGATATGAAAAGGCACTCTCTTGTTCTCATGTCCTCATTATTCCTGCCAATTTTATTACTGTTACATAGAAAATCAACTGGTGGTTATTATTATTACTTTTACCCATCTCATACTGGAACTTTTGCTCATCCTCTTCAAGGTTTGCTTTTAGGCTGGTACAGTTTTGCAGTTGTGATTCCTTTGTCTCTACTGTTTAGGTGTAAAGTCCTTGCAGTGGCTCAAAATGCTGAAACTACAAAGTAGGCGCCATGTATAACTTTGTACAGGAATTCGGGATAAAAATTGTATATAAATTTGCAAATGGTTTGATTACAACACATAAGCAACGACAGCACAGCCTGTTTTTATGTGATGTCTTGCAACTAACTGGACTATGAAAGTGAGGGTTTGAGCATCAACTCAGCCTGCTGAGTGCTGGGCACTTTCAAAATGTGATGAGTAAAAATGGTGAAGCCACTTTGTTGCTAGCACATGGCTACATGGAATTACATTTTTTTTTTTATATATATATATATAAAAACCCTATACTAAATTCTAAAACAAACCTTCAAGTTTTAGAGCACTTCCACCTGGAAACACTCTGACTAGAATTCAGCTTCATTCAGGGTAAAAATGAGAAATTATGGTAAACGGGAAACGAAGTAGCTGAGAAAGATGGAAGTTTGCCATTTTTATGTTTGAGATGAATGTTTTTGCAGTGTATACATGCACCTGTCGTAACTCTTCATGTGTGTGCATTAAATCATACGCATACAAAAGAAATGTGGATCATGTAAATTCACAGTTATCACAGCCATTAAAGTGTCTAAGAATTTGTGACCAATGCTTGAAGATGACCACTGGTAAATGGTCACCCTACATTGCTACGGTAAAATTACTGCATCTTAACGAGTTTGCTTACCTGAAATAGCAGAGCAGTTATAATACTGATTACGTATGATATTACAGTGTTAATAAAATAAGGATTTATACAAAGCAGTATTTGACTACAACATTTAAATGCTATGTTACTTGGCACATTTAGTAATGATTGCTTAGAAATCCTAGCAAGTCCAGAGGACTCTTAATGAAAATACTGAAATGTCTGAAATTTGTTTCTAACGTTTAATATTTTTTGGTCTACTCTTTCATATGCTATTCATTTATTATACTGTCCTATCAAGTAAGTGGAATTCCTTGTAAAGTCTATATTGCTAGTTTTGTGGACTGAAAAAATTTCTTTCCAAGCACAAATGTTAACTATACAGTATATATATATATTTATATGTATATATTTATATTATATAAAGTTTACTTACGTACTTTCATCAACCATATCAGGTCTACTTATTTGTTTTGCCCATTGACAATAAAAGAGCAAGAATGCAACACTTGGTTCAGTATCACTTTTTTCCTTTTTTCATAGACTAAGTTTTTATTACGCCTGTAAAATTGTCAAGGGATTTGGTGTAAAAGGTAGCTCTACTCGTATTCAGCAAGCAGCATGTTTTCAAGGCAGTTTGGAAATAAGAACTAACCAGATGGTAAGCGTCTATTGAGCAGATAAGTAAAACCAGTATCGACTGCGCTAACTTGAATGATTTTATTTCGTAACAGCAAGCCTTCAAGCTCACACAACTCGGTTAAATTGTCTAGGTAAAAACTGACAATATTATTTGTTGCTTCTTCTAAGTGCCCTTGTGACGTTGTTTAAAACTACAGTTATTAGGAGGGCCAATACGTCCTAGACTATTGTGCTGATGCCGCTGTGTTTGGGCTTGGTGCTGGCTGCAGTGGAGGGAGGCGGTGGCGGTCCGTGGTGATGCTGAGAGTGCTGGGGATGAGAAGAGTGCCCTGGGTGCGGAGGGGGCAGCGGCGGATGGGGAGAGTGGGTGTGCTGCACGTGGGGGTGCTGCATGTACGGAGGGTGCTGGGAATGGGGCACGTGCTGGTGATACTGGTGCGGGTGCTGGATGTGCTGGGGAGGGTGGTAGTGGTGGTGGTGGTGGTAGGGCGGTGGGTTCTGCTGCATGTGGCAGTACTGCGAGTGGTGCGAGTGCACTTGTGCCTGCGTCTGCCCCTCAGCTGGCCCTGCATGATGCATGGCAGAAGGATGCTGTGAGTGCTGCTGATGTGGGATTACTGGAGGGTGCGGAGGTTGCTGTGATGAGCCAGATGGTGGATGGCCTTGGGAGGGTGGCTTTCCCCTTTTACTACCAAATAAGGAACCTAGGAGTGAGGAGGAGTTAGGCATAGTCTGGTGAGGGCGAGATGGACACTCTCGGGTTGATGTAGCTCTTCGGCGCATGTGAGGACTGCTAATGATGGACCCCTAAAAAGAAATTAATAGAAATAAAAATTAAAAAAAAATCTTAAAATGTTTAAAAGAAAAAGTTCACACTGACCCACAAACTCCTCCTTCAGTGTTCACATGGGTGGACTATGTTAAGAGTTCTAGGAAAAATTTTATTTCCACCTTCTCTAAGTTGCCAGTGAGGCATTCATGCCCTTCTTCTTGGGATATATGAAGCATTAAAAACTTTTTCTCTCAGTACTTTAACATCGAAACCTATGACTTTAAATGAGAAAAATGTCACGGAAGAGTAACATGATGTAAGACTTAGGAGTGTGTTTTTAAAGGAAAAATACATTTTAAAATACTGTGAAAAATACCATACTTGCTTTTTTACAACAAAAACCCCTATATTAAATTCAACTAAATAGTTAAACTCACAGCAGCAAATATTACAGTTACAATTCAGATTTCAAAACAGTATTTTAAACTTTTTTTTTTTATAGTAGTTTTCCACTACTATATGCCACAGTGCTGCTTCTAAAGCCTACCTCTGAATTATGTGTTAAATGGAACCATACCATTTTTGCCACTAAGATTTCTGTGTGATTGTGTTCTTCTGCCCTGTGGTCCAATGTTCTCTATTAAATAGCCTGGAATGCTGTATTTAGTTTCTGGAAGTTTGGGGGTTGTATTTTTTAAAAAGAGTTATGGGACACAACAGTACTTAGGCAAAGTGTGCTAGAATTAAACTGCAATCTACCTAAAGCAAACACAAACAAAAAAAAAAAAAGAAAGAAAAAAAAAGAAAAACTCTGCAAGCTGAATCCAGAGACATGAACAGTATATATATATATAAATGGTTTGAAGATGAATGAAATCTCATGAAATCCACATTGAATTCACCTACAATTTCTTTCTCCCATGCCCTATCTGTGCAATTCCATGGTGTCATGACTGCATACATTTAGCAATTTAACTTGAAAATAAGCAATGGGAATGGTTGAGCATGAAAGTCAATAGTTGTAGCTAAATACCAAACAGCAAGAACAGTGTACTTGGTGACAAAGAGCAAGTGGGCTTTTAAGCTGGGACCAGACTGAAATGGTGGCAAAAGGACACATCATATTCATTTAACCATGCTTGCAGGAACAAAGGGAACAAGGTTAGCTCAAACCAAAAATGGCATTGGTCTAAAACAAGCTGTCAGTGCTTTTTAAGCTGGAAGAATACGGAGTGAGTAGCCCAGGCATGCATTTTATTTGAGGCAGGCAGGTTATATGTTAGAAGAAAAAAAGAGCAAAAAAATATGTATATAAAAGAAAGGTTTGAAATGCACATCATCACATCCAGCTAGACATCAGTAACTTCCTACTTACTTCCATATTGCTGTCTAGCGATCCTGCACTGCTGCGTCGCCCACGCTTGCCTGCCCAGGACATGCAACACCATAGATTAGAGACTGAGACAAGACCCCCGTGAAAAACAGCTGCTTTCCCTGAATCACTAGAGGAGTCTCTAAACGCAACTAGAGGGGCTGCAGGGAGGTTAACATGGCACTGGACTGGTACAGCAGCTACCAAGGCAGAAACTGAGATTTTTTAGGCCATTAGTTATATTAAGCTTCTGTACCTGACTGATTTTTAAGAGGTGGCATTGTTGTGAATCAACTATCAGTAGCAGGGTGTGATTTTTAAAAATTTGTACAACTCTTAAAATGCATGTATTTTAGCATCTATATTTAGTAGTACAGTTATGATTTTGACCAGCAACAATTTTAAATTGTTGATTTCCTGGCATCTCATTCTCTACGAAGTGTCTTTAGACTAACAGCATATATATATATATATAAAATATATTTGTGGGGTGGTATTAATTTAAATACAAAATTTCATATTGGCATATTCTGAACTTCAGTGTGGGGGATTGGTGAGGGACATCGGTTTCGTCATTTGATTTTCAGTTTTGAACCTCAGTGGATTTCATATAATCTTCTTTCATGAGGTTTTAAAAAAACTAAACTTAATTTTCAATCAATAAATCCAGAATCTGTCTTGACATTATGGCTAGGTTTTGTTTGTTTAGCTGTGCAGTGCTTTAAGTATGATGGATTTGTTCTCCAATATTTTCAAACTGCCAAAGACATTTCCCTAAAACTACCTGTGAAACACCAGACTGTGTGCCTGAAGAGGCAGAATACTGCAGTGGCTATACATAGGACACAGGATCCCAGATTTTCTCTCTCATTTCACAGGAGAGAAAATAACATATGGCTGCAGTGGAAACAGGTATTTTTTAAATGATAGCTTATTGACAATTGCTCTGAGAAGTTTCTCTTCGCTGGCAGGGTGTATAAACACAGCTAACCTTTGAATTCAGGGTGATCCAAGTCTCAAAGCTTCTCTAAAATCGACGTGTTTTTAGAAACCTAAATTTTCTCAATGCTTTCTCCTTGCTTTCCCGCAAGGCCATCTACCAAAGACAATCTCCACATTGCATTGCTGCCTTCAGAATCTTCTGCTCTAACAAGTGGTTTTGGAAAGGAATGTGAAGATTTCAGCACCACTGAGCCACGCACCCTCACCTTTAGAAGCCTAAAAGGCACACAGTATCAGAGCTAAAGAGAAGAACTTTGGGACTGGTTTGTAAGTGGGACACAAAAGGGATTCCTGGGAGGTTCACCCTTACTTCTTGACACACCCTCTCATAGATCAATTTAGACTATCCATAATGTCATAAGATTAGTATGACCTAAAAATAGCACCTATTGGATCTGTCAGCATAACTTTGACCTGGCTGGTGGTGGGATGCCACCCTGCAACAGAAGTTTAAGAGCTACAGTTCTCTTTACAGTACTGTAACGTTTCCCCACCCTCTCATTACCCTCCAGAGCTACTCTCCAGTACAAACCCCTCTACACTGACATTAAATTGAGGGGAAGGCATTTGTGGTCGAGGTGTTTTGTTCAGCTTGTTAAATTTGTTGGAATTTTGAACAATTCCCCTAGACAGGCTCTTTGTCAAAAGCCTGGCAGTTCATCTCTTGCTGCAGTTTTACCCTCATTCAAAGCCATAACTGTGATCTCATGATGCCCCCAAGAAAAGCCGTTTTTGATAATCCCTTATTTTTACTTCTAGTCAGGCTTTGATATTTTTCTGCTCTGCTAACGGGATTAGTACTGATTAACACTCAAATCACTCTTGCTTGCCAATACAAAAACACAGAGGAAGATAGCCGTCTCTTAACTTAGCAGTCAGTGTTGCAAATAAGACTGACAGCTGCCACAAGCCATTAAACGTGGCCAAAAAGTCAAGCAAAACAGGAAAATCTAATGCCTTTTGCACACGGCCAAGTCTCTAATAAAATAACCATGAACACGGCATATACACAGTATATATGGACAGAAAGAGACAGATGGATTTTTGCTTAGAATAACTTCAGGGCAAAGTAGTGCTAGCAAAGCCAAGAACAAACAGAAAATCCTACTTAAAATGCTGTAATTTTCCTCAGATAGGCACTATCACCATAAAGATTGCTTTGTTTATTTTCTTAAAAACAAACTGAACCCAATTCTTTCGTGACCTGCAGTGTGATATGAAAGCTATTAAGTAAATCCGCTGGAGCGTTCCCTCTGCCAACGTGTGTTTATACAAGACTGTTCTCTGGTCTTTGAGATGGCATCCCATCTCCAAAATGTTTCCCTAGAGCTGCAGCACTCAAATGTATTTCAAGAAAATGGTGACTCTAGACTAGAATTGTATGTAAGCATAACTCTGTACTCGCATAATAGTTAACAGCTGTGATACAAAGCAAGGTGGTATTTATCAAATCTGAAGACCAGTTTGGCTTAATATATTCTGATCTACATGCAATTTTTAAGGACGTCACTTAGAGTGGTTTTCAATTTATTTTTGTAAATTTCAGTTTAATTTAACCTTTTCTGATTCATGCCAACAATTCACTGATGTTAGATATGAACGCTCTTTGAAAGAAGTATCTTTAACTTACATAAGTATAATACGCCTCGTGTAAGTACACACATTATATGGGACTAAGAACATTTCAAATTCATAGTGGAAATATTAAGGGATCAGAATATTTTTACAAACTTAAGCATTCCAAAAGAAAATACACAGTTTCACTAACAAAAATCCGCTCTACCTTGCAGAACTTGATCTCTCAGATGTGCAGATCAATACAGTAAATGTATGTATCTCTCACTGCTACCCTGTATTTCTTGAAACTCTGTACTATGCCAGTGAGACACACTGATATCTAAACAATCTAGCTTTGTATGTCTTGGGGGAAAAAGTTTGGAAGAAAGTCCTGAATTCAGGTTTTGGTAAAGCAAACTAACATAGCAGCTCTTAAAGCAATGAGTTGTTCCGCTAGCCTCCAAAGGCTGTGACATTGACGGTCCCAGCAGCAGCAGAATCTGTAACCATCGCTACTGAGCTTATAGGTATTACTCAACCTGACTTGCTCAAAATTATCTGAACAGTATGCTCTAACCCTTAATTTCGAGAGACCGCTTTCCAGGGTGAAAAGACTCTTTGTAACCTTCACATTTTGATCTTGTGTTCTGGGTGAAACAGGTACAGTCTTAAGATCACACAGCAACTGTGAGAATAGTTTCTTGGCATCTTCGAACAGATTATTCTCAAAATACTGAGTATGCCCCAGCAGATGAGAAAACAGCATAAACATAAAGCAGAAGAGTGTGGCCAGCAGGTCGAGGGAGGTTCTCCTCCCTCTCTGCTCTGCCCTGGTGAGGCCCCATCTGCAGTGCTGTGTCCAGTTCTGGGCTCCCCACTTCAAGAAAGATGAGGAGCTACTGGAGAGAGTCCAGCGGAGGGCTATGAGGATGGTGAGGGGACTGGAGCATCTCTGCTACGAGGAGAGGCTGAGGGAGCTGGGCTTGATCAGCTGGAAGAAGAGAAGGCTGAGAGGGGACCTTAGAAATGCTTATAAATATCTGCAGGGTGGGGGTCGAGGCTGTGGAGTCTCCTTCTCTGGAGATATTCCAGCCCCGCCTGGACGCGGTGCTGTGCAGCCTGCTCTGGGTGACCCTGCTTGGGCAGGGGGTTGGGCTGGGTGACCCACAGAGGGCCCTTCCAAGCCCTGCCACGCTGGGATTCTGTGATAACCACACCTTGCCTTGCTGAACTCCTCCTTCACTGGCAACGCAAGCCATGGCTCTTCCATAAGACAGAAAAGTTGTTGATACAAAGGTGTTTATATACAGTGCAGGATGCCTTTGTATAACATACTTGTAAAATAGTATGCACACCACAAAAGACTTGATTCATACAAATCTGGTTTATTTAAAAAAACCCAGTAAATTCTATCATGCCCATTACTGTTGCTATTCCACTGCAGAATAGGAAATAAAACAACAGTGACAAAGGAAGAGACAGGAAAAATCTCTCCCTACTTGGAAAGCTCTGCTAATAAGGGAGAAGACTGCTACTATCCTCCATCCTATATAATGTAGCAAAATCCATGGGAGAGGACGAAGAAAACAACCTAGTAACCCCATGGCATCAGATGAACGAGGAGCCAAGGGACTGCACCATCCCATCACACATTGATTCAACAGATGAAGGGATTCTGTAATGGCATGAACTCAGAGAATTTTTAGGGGACTACAATGCTGAGAAGTTCCACAATCTTTTCCGTTACATTTTGGGATATAGGAAATTTAAAAAAAACACATGATGAAATTGTTTAAAAAAAAAAAAACCACATTAAAAAAGTTAAAGGTTGACAACTGCGATTATATGCACTATACAAATAGAATTGTTTTAATTCTGGAACTATTTTATGTTTTGGTTCTGGGTTTGTTGGTTGGTTTTTTTAAATAGTCTCTACGGATCTGTGATTGTTTTGAGATAGCTCAGGAGATTACGAGACAAGCACAACTTATATTATAGTAACCATTACACCATCCTGCACTTCTGTGCAGATTCCAGTATTACATAGGTATGCCAGTTGTATATTACCAAGGCAAACCATAAAATTACAATTTTTAAACCAGTGCAGTGTGTAAATATTATTCCCCCTTTACAGGTTAGGGATGGGGGGGAATAAAAGCTTGATTTGCCCAGGTGCTTACCACTGTAAACTCAATGTGCAAGCACTGGGTCCTCCAGCAACTCAAAGTCACTGGAATTCAGACTGACTAGCCCAAAATCAGTCAAGAAACCTGTGAGAGATACAGAATCAGAAATGCAACCAGTCTCATCCTCCATGCTCTGCTTCAGTGACCAAATCATTCTTCCCACGTACTAATGGCCATGATGAGACTTCACATCTTTCTGTAGACCTACTTATCATGTAACTGTATATGGCGTAAGTGGTGAAATGTGCAGAATTCTATCAGAACCCATAAAACTCAGCTTCAGCTGCATTAAAATTTGTTTGTCTTCTAATATTTTTCTCTAAACTAAGAATTTCAAAGTCTAGGGCAAATAAATTCAGTTCTTCCTTGACTATAGCTCAAGAATTTTTCTTCTGAGAAAAAGAAAACATTAAATACTTTTGACATATTCACATCTTGGAACAGTTGGTTGACATTTTCTGCTTTTTATTCCATGGAAAGAACTGTCAATCCACAGTGAACGATACTATCCTTAAAATCAAGAGACTCTCATTCACATCCCTTTTGCAATTATGATTTAAGCTATCACGGCAAATGCATGGAAGAACAACCATCAGGAAACAATTCCTGACATTGTCTCTTGACGGTGAAATCTTCCCTTTTCTTATGGTTTACAGCTGAGGAGTCAGAATCATTCAGGGTATCAACATTAATTAGATCTAAGAAGCTTTTGAATTGTCACTCTTTTCCAAGAGAGAAATTTAAAGTCACTTTCCACAGCCACCATTTACTACTGTCATACCTGGCAGAGAGTAATGGACTGTTGTATTGTCACATACCCGTGCAACCAATATGTTGTTCAATGAGATTTCCCCTTCATTGAATAAATATTTTAAATTTTTCAAATTTGTTTTTGCAATGTTCATTGGACAATTATCTGCCTCACTGCATAAATATGTAACCAGTCAATTTTCTCATGTTTATTAGATTTCTGTTTAAATCTCTAAAAAGTCTCTAAAAATCCACTATCACCATGCCTTTTCCTACAGAAAGACACACATCCACACACAGTGCCACTACTCCTGTTCCTCCTCCTTTTTGATCTTGTGTTTCATCCACTAAAAGAAGAATTGAGGCAACCTAACTCGGTACTCTTTTACAGAAGCAATTTAGTATGGTACAAACACTGGGACGCAGTATCTTGATAACGAAAGAGATTTCTTTTTTCTATGGATCATCTGTCCCATACTAAAACAAAATGAGCCTCACATGCAAGCTATTCACTCAGAAAAGGCAGAAAAGACATGTATAATTTCATTAAAATTACACCAAATAACAAAGCAAATAACAGGTATGTAATTTCTCAAGTCATTTGCACTGCACAAGACCAAACAGAAACTCTCCATAATTCTCAACACAAAGTTAAAATTAAGTTTAGTTGGGTTTAACAAACTCATTGATAAACCCTGCAGTTGTGAATGATTTTTACTTTTATTATGGAAAAAAGTTATTTTCAGTAATAAGCATGCCAATTGTAGGCATGCCCTGCTGAAACGTGAAATGTTTTCATGATTACAAATACTTGTTTATTGCATAAAACCTGTAACATGAATTTAAATACATGGCAATGTTTGAAAGACAGGGATGAAAAATTCCTATGGGATGAAAAGATTAATCAGAAATCACATTTATGCGTACAGCTACCCACTGAACTCACATATTCAACAATATGGTAGTTCTCATTCTAATGAAATAGAAACAAAACGATGAAAAAGGATGATGAAAGTTTCCTCAAATCTGAGATATAACAGTGGTGAAGACTAGCGCCTTGATCTAAAATCCATTGAAGCCAATCAAGCACCAATATTCAACTTCAGCCTGATTTTGGATCAAGGTCCTAGGCCTTTTTAATGAAGAAAATGGACATATGAGTATGAAAGCCTAAACAGAGAATAAAATATTTGAAAGAGCTCACTCTCTACATATTTGTATGCACATACGTACACCCACAAAACACAGGCTGTAATTTCAGTTTATAACAATTTTATTTATTGCAGCATAGCTAAAATCTCTTCTTTAATTAAAAAAGGAAAAAGGTAAAAGTAGCGTCTACTACCAAAGATATGCATAGTATTGAAATTATGACTATACTGTAAATCATCACTGCAATTAAAAGAACACATCAGAGCATGTAACACAGACTAGGAACTAAAAAAATAACTAAAAATAATATATAGTTGCTACTATCCCCAAAAGTGCTTTCTGAATATTGGGCATGGTGTTGAGATACGACTTCTTGTAAACACCAGGAATCGCATTTAACACTGAGAGAAGGTTACTACACACGGTAGCCTGTATTACATGGGTATGCCAGTTGTGTATTACTGAGGCAAACCATAAAATAAAAACATACCAAACTTCCCCTGGCTTTTCTTTAGCTAAAAAAATCACACCACCACTCCTTTCCAGTCTTTAGCTATATTAATCAGTTAATAAATCTTAAGACACATCAGTGGTTTTGTGGGATATCAGTATTCTTGTTCACTAGGGCCTCCTCTATTATATTGGCAATAGTATTTCACAATAACCTCTTTTGCAAGAATTGGGAACTTCATCTTGAGTTACAAAACAATAAAAGAGCATCAGGGACACACTAACAGAATTATATAGCTCTAGGCAGAATTTAGTAGGGCTTCACTCAATTTCATTCATCGATGTGGTAACACAGGTACACTTGAGCACAAAATACACAGAAAGCGGTCATTACACACAGACCAGTTTCTTTTCTTTTCTTTCTAAGCCTACTGTATGAGGGGAAAGAAGCAAAGGGGAAGGAAGAAAGAAAAAAAAGGAAAACTAAGCGGGTTACTCCTAGCACGTCTACCATTTTTTAATAAAACACTTACAATTTTTCCTCTGTCTTCACTCTCCTTTAAAAGTATATATAGCAATCTACAACGGTTTAAATGCTTTCAAATAGTGGTTGCTTAATAGAACAAGGGTAAAAAACAAACAAATTAAACACGAACTATGAAAGAGGAGCTCTTTAAAAGGTTTGAAGTTTCAGTAGTAGTAGTTCTGGAAGCCCACCGTGAGCTGGGCTTTATAGGCATCATTCCCACATCTCTGCATGCACTAGCCAGGCGTGGAAACAAGGGCAGGGCTTACCTGCTTCCGACAGGTCTCTGAGGGAGCTGCTCAGGGCGCTTCTTTTCAGCCCCTCCCCGGTAGCATAGCTGTCATCCAGGCAAGCTCGGTTCAGCGTCCCGTTGCCAGAATCTTTTTTCAGACTGGAGCATTGCGACATGCTTGGACGTACCACACCCTTCTGTTTTTCTAGCTCAGCTGAAACAAAGAGAATAATTTTGCAATTAATATTTATTGACTATAATGAAGGACATGGTAACATCACCATTTCTGTACGTGATCGTGTATTACTGTGAATAACAGATAAGAGTACATTTTGGCACTGTTAAATGCCATGGAGGAACCTCACCCCTGTGCTAACAGCTTTATATTACAACACACAGGTTGAAAGGCGATTCCACTTTTGGAAAAACAGAAGATAAAATCCCATGTTTAGACACTCACTTAACTTCCAGCAGAATATATGAAATTCTATTATAGCTACCTAATTGAGAGAATACAGGAATGTCAACATGGAAAGACAGAAAAATTCAATGAAACTTCTTTGAAGGGCCACCACTGAGAATTTCAGTGACGTAAATGATCCCTAAAATTCTTACTGTAATTTGTACTACAAATTACAAATCCATCTTTCCTCCAGTCCATTGCTATACGCAGTTTGGCCAGGCTAAATTTCCACTGCAGTAAATAACAGTTAATGAACTCAGCTGGGGCTTAAGATGTCATTGGGTTTTTCCTCTTTCTAGAATGAAAGCTGTGGAAAAAACCCACATTATTTTGAACTTTCAAAGAGTTCTAATGGGTTACACACATATTCCAGATTTTCTTATTTCATTAGCTTGAAAATGCTCTATTATATGTACCTTTGTACTTACACTCTATTCTGTGCTTTTCCATTTCTTGAACCTCTGCAATTGACTCCCTCAAATCATCTGTAAACTTCTTCCTGTCCTGAGGATTTGGTGCATTGAAATTTATCAGTACTTTGATATCTGCTCCTGGAACGGCTGACGTGAGCCGAATACCATTGGGGTAATCTAGAAGAGAGAGTCAAGAAAAACTAAGCTCTGATTATTCCAACCACTTTTCTTTTTATGAAAAAAACCCCAACAAAACAAACCCACAACAAAACCTAAAGGCTTTTTACTAGTATTATCATATAGGAGACACAGTCAGAAAAATAAAAGTCGAAAGGCACAGAATTAGAATGAAAATCCCTAAGATACATTGGAACTGCTTAACTGTCAAGATACCAAATAAATACTGAAAGATAGTCTTTATGCAGCTCTACCCTTAAGGTACAATATACAATAGAAAAGAAAAAATCCCAGGAAAAAAAAACCAAAAAAAATTTTAAGGGGATAATTTTTGTTTCATGGAACGGGTTCCATTCCCCACCTTACTGAAGTGTGACCAAAGTTTTGCTGAGTAAAGACTACTTGAACACATCTTCAGTACTAGAAACTGTCTTACACTTTTAACTTGGCATTTGCAGGAAGACAAACATACTAGTATGTACAGCTTTTAGTATTCCCTATTAAGTTGTGTTCCCTGGACAACCTACTTTCATCTGATGAAAAAGGCGTGGGTCCCTGTCCCCCCCCCCCTTTTGTCCCGTGTTACGGACATCTTCCCAATAAAAGGCAGATTTGTCAGCAAACTGTCTTGCCTCTTTTCTAGCTGCACATCTGAGAATGCAAATTTTAACAGCTGGTCAAAAATATCTCCTGGTTGAGACAGAATGTTCATTGACAGAAAGGTAGCTTATAATGAAGATATGTTCTGCTATAGAAAACAGAATTAGCCTTCGCTTGAAGCACAGACCTGTAGAAATGGGGTGTCAGAAGAACTCAAAATGCGCATTCCAATTCAAAATGTTTTCTTTTACTCAGCTGCTTGACCTTCTTGGTTTGCTAAAGCTCTCAAATATTTACTTAGGTATTCAATCTGAAGTTCAAGTGCTCCCATGTACTAAAAATTCGTTCCCTCAAGAGCCAGCAGAAAATGTAAGGTAGTCTTTTCCTCAAACTCATTAGGTTTCAATAATATACAGACTTAAAATATCGAGAAACAAATACAACTGCTATGCTTTTTTAAAAGTATATCTTAACTTCCAAATCAGATTTGCAACTGAAAGCGAAGCAAGTCCATTTACCATTCTCAGGTGGAAAAAGGTGCCAGCTACCGCAAGAGGGGAGGGAGGGAGCAAGAATTTGGGGCTTCTGCCAGGGTCTGACACCAACAGCTTGCACAGAAGCAACATACAGCTGATCTGCTTCTCCTGACCACCTGACAATTGCAGCTACCTTCAATCGAATCAGACAGCCGCCTCCAGGTGTCTGCAGCTGCTGTCGTTCAGAACACAGCCAAATGGCCAGAAGTGCAGAGGAGCCTGGTGCTCGCAAGCTAACAGGAGGAGAGCCTGGTGTAACAGCACGTACTGCTGTGAACACTGAAACGGGATGTGCAGCAAACAGCTCGAGAAAGTGCACCGCTTGGAAAAAAAAAAGTTTATGAAACCAAACAAGAAAACTTGGTAAGCCCAAAGTCACATGGGCCACCTTCAAGTATGAACAAAGAACAATGAATATCCACATACTAAACAAACAAAAATGTTTCATTACCAGAGATGCTTCTCTACATCACATTGATTAAGCATCAGGAAACACTGACGTACGTATTTACTGGTTCAGACACGCTCTCTCGAAAGCGATCAGCTTGCTCTTTGTATTTTCAGTGATTTTGACTGAAAATGTAAAATATACTTCCCTTATGGCCTACTTATTTACTAGAGATACATGACATTCTTTCCCCTTTTGGAGCTCATCCGTCCCTCAGTGTAATTGACTTCTATCATCAGAAGCTAATTCTTCCATCATCAGCGCCAACCATTTTGTTCAACCTCACCAGCAGCCATGCCAATATTTTTGTTTCTTCTGCTTTAGTGACACTACATTTTGTTTACTTAAAACCAGCTGATTCGGACAGCTGCTACATACAGATTTACTGAATGGTATGATGGCTCTGCCCAAAATACCCCACAGTTTGCTGGGGACAGGGGAAACCAAGAACATGAATTCTGCAAACCAGAGGGGAAGAATACTTCTGTTTCCCAACCGGAAAACACTGCATTCCACCTGACAGGCACCAGTATTAGAAGTACAACCAGCTCACTGATTCACCATAGTGAATCCACCTTAGGAGCCCACCTATGTCTACTAAAGTGTCTCAGTTAAAATGCCTCCAGTTCACCGGGAGGAATCCAACCTTTTACTCCTACTTCCACTACAGATATTTTTAAATTTACTTGAACAAATTGTTTTAACTTAGCATGCTTATATGATATTTAGTTTTTTTAACTTATTTAACTTGACATCAGAGGAATTATATAGTCTTCTATTTTTAGCAGAATCCAGGACAGAAATATTTGGCTTTCCTCTCTAAAAATGAATTTTATATCATGTAACGTGTGCACAAGAGAGACTGAGAATGAATGTGTACGCACATAAATAATCCGCAGGCTACATCGCTGCTACAAGCTCTACAAAATCTCCCCTTTTGAAATCTCCAAATGCTTTGACTCAGCGGCTTCTTTTCAGTGAGACAAGCATCACAGCGCATTCCAAGGACAAGTGAAAACGAAGAGCTTTGCACAACAGAAGAGCCCAGAAACTACCGAATGTCACACTGAACTGTGCCCAATTTAGCACGAAGGTGAAGGTTTGGTTTGCAAACCATTAAGTCAGGTCAAGTAGGCTGTCTCCCTATGTACCATACGAACAACTTCGCTCTGCTACGCTATTACTGATGCTGTCTCTGGGCTTAAAATCTACACGAGCATTAGCAAACTATTTGCTTTTTGTTTGGTTGTTCTCTGCTAAGACTAAGCTTGACAAGTATTAAAGATAAAAAGAATATTGGATTGCTGCAGATTGCAATTGACAAAAACAAAAGGTGTCAGAAAATACAAACTTTAATCCAGATTCGCTGCTTTGTATTTATATTTGAACAAGTATACACTACCTAGGCACAAAGCTAAGATATAAATCAGGAAAATAAATTACTTAGTGGTTTGAATTACACATATCATTATAACAGTCATTATTTATTGTCAGGCATTCAGTTCCAGCTAACTGTACCATTGACTCAGCAACAGATATAACATCTTTGTTTCTTTACAGACATTTACAGGTGGATAGAGAACTGGCTGAATGGCAGAACTCAGAGGGTTGTCATCAGCGGTGCTGAGTCTAGTTGGAGGCCCGTAACAAGTGGTGTCCCCCAAGGGTCAGTACTGGGTCCAGCCTTGTTTAACTTCATCAACGACCTGGATGAAGAGTTAGAGTGTACCCTCAGCAAGTTTGCTGATGACACCAAACTGGGAGGTGTGGTAGATACACCAGCAGGCTGTGCTGCCATTCAGCGTGACCTGGACAGGCTGGAGAGCTGGGCAGAGA